GCGTGACCAAGGCAGTGTTGTGCATCTCTGTTTAACTGTAGTTGTCTTTCTCCATAGCCCTTAGGGATTTGATGGGGAGGTTGAAGATGAGATCTGAATGGGAATTTACTACAGTTGACAGCTGCATTTCGTTGTAACCAGATTAGGTACTAAACTTGAATAGCTTAATGTTTTCCATGATTTTGTAATTGTTGCAGATATGGCTGTTTAACTGCAATATATACTTTGAAGTTTAGTGAGATTTTGGAACAATTGAAGACTTGAAGCAATTTTTTGCATTTTTTTTCAGGGAAAAAAACATGGAAAAAGAGTTGAAGCTTCCTAGATGTTGATAAATTCCAGTTTTCACAAATAAACCATTATCTTCCCTACTTTGCCTTCCAAACAGGATTGTGACATAGACACCTACACCGGAGATAAAAATTGTTTATAAAATCAATATTATTTTGGTGTTTCCCTAAGGAAATATTGCTTGTGGGACAACAGCGTTGGCTGTTTGTCACTGCCTGTGCTCCCTGGTTTGCCAACCCTGTAACATTTAATCCCTTTGGCAAATTTCAAATTTGGCAGTGGTCTGAAATGATACTAAGTTACTGTAAATTTTGTGAAGATGTACGAGAGGACAGAATGGCACCCTGCTAGTGTCCATAGCCTGCCGTTTGAACTTGGTCCTGTTAGACATCAGGGAATTCCTGTAGGACTTCACTGGGAGACAGAAAACTGTATGAAAAGAGTCTTTGTGTATACACATGTGTTTGTATATCTATAAAGTAGGCATCTGTATATGGATGCATGAACTCTTATCTGCACACAAGCACACAGAAATTTATGTTTATTGAATCAGTACAGGGGATTTTTTTTTTTCTTAGAAGGGGTGACAGTGGAGGCAGGTGGTCTTAAGTACGTTCTGGCAACTGAGATGCCTTTGTGTTGAGCTTCATGCAAAGGCATGAATAAAGTCATATTGTTTTCTGGCCTTATATTGATGCTGTGTTCTTTGTCATGATTGCTATCAGAAGAGTGAAGATAAATTTTTGCTAGTGTGGCAGTTGTCATGTGGGGATGTTAGGTTGGAAGAGAACCCACAATTTATTATGTATTCCTGAGGCTTTACGATCATTAATTTTCCAGAGAAATGGAGAAGAGGGCTCAAATTCTTTTTTCTCTCCTCTCAGTTTTTTTTTTTTTGTTTAACTAGAAGTGGTTCTAAGGACATGTAAAGTAGCTTTACTTGTGCTCAGAGTAGGAAATAACAGTTTTGCAAACTAATTCATCAATATTTTAATATTAGATATTTCTAGAGTCCTATTATCTTTGCTTGGACAGCATAAAGGTTATTTCATATGTAGCAGTAATAAACTGTCAGCAGCAAGAAACTATTGATAGAAGCCATTTGAAGCACGGAGCATAGATGCTGTAGGAGTATGTAGGCTTGTATTTGCAGTAACTGTGACGTATTGCCATGTAGTCAGCCTCTGTGATGACTTGTTGCATAGAAATTTGGGTTTTGTATCTGGCTGAGGTCCAGCGTGTAAATCCACTTCAGGCTGATGGCAAATGAATGATAATCTGGAAATTGTAATTGGTCAGTAAGCCTTTTATAAATCGTTCTTTGGAATGAAGAATTCATTGGAGATCTGTGTGTGTAAAGTAATCAGGTTTCTTGCCAGCGTGCCCTCAAGAGTAGTTTGCATAATGTGGCAATATAGGTATTTGAGACTTTCTTAAAATAAACAAAGAGCTAAATTGCTAGTTGATGGCTTCTAGTGATTGAGATGATGATGGTAAGAATAATATCATCTGTAAAAAAAAAAAAAAAAAAAAGGAAACCACAATGTTATTTTCCTGGTATACTTAAAATTCCTTATGCAATTTCTGGTCCAGGTTTTATAAGATTTTTTTCAAATTGTCTCTGGAGCTAGGAATTTATATTCTCTACCCCTAAAACTGAATATTAAGTGTATCAGAAGAATCGTTATTCTGTAATTGTTTGTTGGAACTTTCATAGCAACCACAGTGATGCTTGACTTTAGCACAGGAAGAGATAACTGCATGAACAAGCGATCCTGTTGCTAATTAACAAATCTTGGGCACTCGTATTGTGTCTGTGTATTGGTTCTCCTGTTTGCGTAATGTAAAACATAATGGGTTTTTTAAACAAAAAAACAAGTTTAGTATCTGTAATGTAGGAAAAGCAGGTAATTTTTATGTCAGTTTTACCAGAAGCATATCTTTTGATAATCAGAATAATAACTCTTCGATGCATTAATTTTGACTATGTTGTTGTGCTGAATTTCTGTGTGCAATATGTGGCAGGACCTGGTTTTGGCGTTTCACTGATCTTATGTAAAATTCATATAATACTTGCATCTTTATATTTTTTTTTTCTTTCTTTCTGATTAAGACAGAGGTTTTTAATATGGTTTGTTGTGTTCAGTCATAAGTGAATTAGAGCTCAGGCTTGAAGGGAAGACATTTTGTACCATTCCTCTGATTGGTATCTTCGAACACTTGCATTGCTGTCTTGATTTTACAAGCAAAAGATTTACTTGTCGTAAATCAGTACAGGTGATGTTTTAGTGGCTTTGTTTAGCATCTGTTACTGCATAGTCTCATTTTTATTTGGTTAATGCATCAAATGCTTTGCCTGGAAGTCAAGGTAAAGCTGTGCTGCAGTTTAATTACATATTATCTGTTTCTGGATTGTACTGATAAGTGTCTAATTAAGTATGTATAGAGTGCTTCAAGCTAGTGTCTAATAAAACGTGGTTACACTGAAAACATTTCATTTGCTAACTGTTGAGGCTAGATGGGTCAGTAATCAAAGCTTAATTTCCATTCCCTATATGTTGCAGTTCTGCTACAACTGGCAAGCGATGCTTTACCAAATGATACAGCCTTGTCTCTTGCCTATCTCCTTGCACTGCCGCAGGTATGTTGACAGTGGTTTTGTTTGTATGTTTTTGCCAGGAAAGACTATTCATTCAAAATTCTGTAAGAAATTGTAATTTCCTCAGAATTTTAAAATCTAAGTCTTTGAATTCGTTTAAATACACATTTTTATAGATTGGGCTGGTGCATTTAAAGGAAACTGAACAAATGCGATTGGCTTATGAGCACGGCACTGGTGAAAAGACTCATTTTCTTACTTAAAATAGTAGTTGGGCCACCTGACTGACAGTTCTAATGTAACTCAGAATTATGAATAGCAACTTTGTGGTATAGAAGCAGCGTAGTTGGAAAATTGATTTGGTTAGATGTTTGTGCAAGGAGGGGAGAACATCATAATGCAGAATTATCTTTGTGTGTGTGTGTAGGTTACTGATTTACTTCTGTGCCATAAAAACATAGTCAGAGCTATTCCTAAATCACAGCAAGTAGCTTTTTAGAAAGTTAGTGCACTTAATGTTGTATGCTTTCTAATTCTTTCATCTAAATTAATGCTCTTTTTCTCCTAGGTGGTAGATGCCAACAAATGCTTTGAAAAGCAATTACATTCTGCGTTATCTCTCCAGCTGGCAAGTTATTACTATAGCCTGCAGATCTATGCTCGTTTGGCACCATGTTTCAAGGACAAATGCCACCCTCTCTACAGGGTTAGTACTCTTTCTTTTTAAAATCATATTCATTAATGTGCAGCATTAAAACTGTTCTAAAAAGCCACTACATAAGTTAAGCCTGTTAAGGAGCTGATCTGACTTACACTGTGAGCAGCCTGTTAAGTTACACGTAATTATTCTTCTACAGTGCTGTAAACAGGTAAGTACTTCACAAATTGTGGAAGAGTTTTTGAAGCACAATATCAAGACTCATTTATAGGTAACAGCACTGTCAGTCTTCAAAGTAGCTTATAAACACTGAACAGTAACAAGCATAGGCTATACTGTCATCTTGCAATACTTATACGTTATAGTACTTCCTAGGAAGAGTCAAGTATCTATTTAAACAAGAATGGTGCTCTTCAAAAAGTTTCCATAGCCTTCCATGAGGTGTGGGATTTTTTTTTTTTTTTTAGTTTACATACAGTGTTTAGAAGATTCCTCCTCATTCATTGATGAATGTGTTGATTTCTTTTGACAAGTGTCTCTTTTTGAAACGGCACGGCTTTGCTTCTCTTTCATCGCCTGCAATTAAAGCAGTTACATGGTAAACTCTGAACTAATCGAAGAGGTGACATATCAGACCTTAGTAAGGCACCAGTTGCCATTCCTACCAAGACACCTGAGTAAAAACTCTTCTTTGCCACTCCAAGAGAGCTTTTCTGAAGTTACACCAGTTCTTTCCTCCTGTGTAGAAACTCTCTGGACTGTTTGGTTTTCAGCCTAGCTCTGCATTACAGCTAAAACAACACTTCTAGTCACAAGTTTTCTGAGAAGAGAGATCACTAATCACCAGTGTGGCATGAGAGAAGATTTGTTTCCATGTGCAGAATGACTCTTTATTTGCAGAGGAAAGCCTGTTTTGGTATTCACCCAGTTCTGCAATTAGACAGCCGTTCATATTTCTTCTGAAATTTGCATTCCGCCATCTTCTGTTTAGAAGTTAAAGGAAAACAGCCCACAACTGAAATTCATGGGGCTTGAAAAATATATTGGTTGTGAGGAATTCATTTATGTTTGTTAAATAGCTTTCTCTGAGCATAGGTCCACATACTGCAAGACACCTTTGATGCAATAATTTTTTTTTTTCAAGTTTAGCTTCTTTAGACCGTTTTATTTTATAAAAAGAGATATGACGCCTTTTGAAAGAGTAAGTCGTAGGAATGAGGACAGAGATGTTAAAGAATGAACTATTCTACTCCAATTGCTGCTTAATAAGCAAAGTCCTATCCATAGCACCATGTAGTTTATCTGTTAACTGATACAATCTTTGGCTAAATCTTTTATTCCATCTTGGTAAAATATTGTATGTGACTGTGATAAGCAGTGGATTCTAAGTTGTTTACTAAAAAGAGTATGTGCTATGTATAAGAACTACTCTTAAACAGTAGCTTTTGAAAACAACTGTATGAGAAGATCCTGAGTGAACAGCACACCAAGAAGAAGAAAAACAACAACAAAAAAAGAGGTCTGAATGCCCAGTAAGGAAACAACACAGGAGAATATATTCGTTGTTACTAATTCCTAGGGCATCCAGTGAGGGAGTGTCACTGAAGTTGAAAAGGACAAATAGAAACAGATGCTTTTAAGCAAAATAAGTACACATCTTTTTAACCACAAAAAAAAACCCAAAACAGACTTAGATGCTTTGATTCCACTGCAAAACAGCTGTTTGTTTAAATGTACCTCGTAGATGCTGGTAATAAGTGCCTCTGCTTCCAAGTTGCTTTCCTCAATACCCTACCAGTTGCTATCTGTGGGAATAGATCTAGCCATGGTCTTTATATTTGTGTTTCTTAAGAGCTTGGTGAGGGAGAATTGATCTTAAACTTTTATGGGACAAACTTTTATGAAGTTGATAAACTCAGTTGTAGATGTCATTCCGTAGTAGATTGTGTTCCAGCTCATGCCACTAGTGTCTTGCATCAACTTTATCTTCTGACTGTTTCTCAAAACAGAAGCGTGTCCCTAAGTCCTTTAACTAAAGCTATGTGTTATTCTTAGAAGATAATTGAGTGTATTTTTGTAGATGAAGGTATATAACCAATCCTTTTTCCCCCCGTGTTCTAAACCTTTACATATTCAGTAAATACCAAAATCTAGCACTTCAGCCACATTGTTGGAAGGTGGATCCTCAAGATCATAGAGCATATATTTCTGTTTAACAGAACTAACTAGATTTCTCTAGTCCATTGAGTCAAGTATCCTGTCTGAAAACTCTAGCTGAATTTATAAGAAGCTGTATAGGAGCATGGAGAAGACTATGCTTCCTGTATCTGCTTTAAAATAACATTGTATAAATCTTTCAAAAGAGTACATGAGCACTTCTGGCATAATGGGAGAAATGTTCTCAGAATGAAAATGACAGATGTGTCGTAAGGATAATGGGAAGTAGTGGTGGGGGGGCGTTCCTCTTCCGCTGGCTAAGAAGGACTTTTAGGACTTGTCAGGAGAGACATTTTGAAAGAATGATTCAGTCTGTTGAAGGAAGGCTTGATTTTTTTTTTTAAAAAAACTTTTTTTTTCTGTGACGTGAAACGCTGATAGCTAATATCTGCACATCAAAACAGAATCATAAATTGCCAGAAATTCTCATTAACTTTTTTGTACTGTTGATGTCCAAAAGGAAATCAGCTTGATAATTTCTATTTCTGATGAAGTTATTACTCTGATATAAGGAGAAACAAAGGGATTTGGGTGTAAAGTACTACTTTTGTTTTGCACCCAAGACAATTTTGAATTTTAGTTGTTATAATAATATCAACATAATAGTTATAGTTTAGGGCATCTGAGCTATATTAGCTTTTTATCCTGAGGAAGGTGTTAAAGGAGCTCTGCAACCAATAAAACCACAGATAAAGGCCTGTAAGAATAATGACAGACAGAAGGAGAGAACAAAATTTCCAGAAATGGACTGGCTGTGGAAAGCATTGATGTGAGGAGACTCATTACCCTTTGAGAAGCTATATTTATTTTTGGTTTAGGTCGGTATTGGGCCTGACAAGGATGAGGTTAAATTTCTTCGTAGCAGCCCCTATGGTGCTGTGCTATGCATATGTGGCTAGAACCGTTGATAACACAGCAGTGTTTTGGCTG